GATCAAATATGATTTGGAAATATATATCACTGAATATTGTTTCACTGACACAGACAGAAAATATACAAGAAACAACTGTCATGTGTGTTAGTATAAAGATGAATAATATCAACTGATAGCATGCAGGTACTTAATCAAATGTCAGATAAAGCAAATTTGAGCAATTCATTGCCAGCATCATTATCTTGACTAGGGAATAAAGAAGGTCAAAGTCCAACAATGGTTATCCACGGCAGAAACATGATATTGAAGGAATTTCAACTGCACACTTTAGTTTGGTGTTGACCACTACATCTATGTAAGTATTGTTAACACATGGTGTTGACCACAACATCTGTGTCGGCATTGTTAACACATGGTGATAACCACAACATCTGTCAACATTGTTAACACATGGTGTTGACCACAACATCTGTGTCAGCATTGTTAACACATGGTGTTGACCACATCTGTCAGCATTGTTAACACATGGTGCTGACCACATCTGTCAGCATTATTAACACATGGTGCTGACCACATCTGTCAGCATTATTAACACATGGTGTTGACCACAACATCTGTCAGCATTGTTAACACATGGTGTTGACCACAACATCTCTGTCAGCATTGTTAACACACAGTGTTGACCACAACATCTGTTAGCACTGTTAACACATGGTGTTGACCACAACATCTGTGTCAGCATTGTTAACACATGGTGTTGGCCACAACATCTGTCAGCATTGTTAACACACAGTGTTGACAACAACATCTGTTAGCACTGTTAACACATGGTGTTGACAACAACATCTGTCAGCATTGTTAACACATGGTGTTGACCACAACATCTGTCACCATTGTTAACACATGGTGTTGACCACAACATCTGTGTCAGCATTGTTAACACATGGTGTTGACCACAACATCTCTGTCAGCATTGTTAACACACATGGTGTTGACCACAACATCTGTGTCAGCATTGTTAACACATGGTGTTGACCACAACATCTCTGTCAGCATTGTTAACACACAGGTGTTGACCACAACATCTGTTAGCACTGTTAACATATGGTGTTGAGCACAACATCTGTCAGCATTATTAACACACAGTGTTGACCACAACATCTGTTAGCACTGTTAACACATGGTGTTGACCACAACATCTCTGTCAGCATTGTTAACACACAGTGTTGACCACAACATCTGTTACCACTGTTAACACATGGTGTTGACCACAACATCTGTGTCAGCATTGTTAACACATGGTGTTGGCCACAACATCTGTGTCAGCATTGTTAACACACAGTGTTTACCACAACATCTGTTAGCACTGTTAACACATGGTGTTGACCACAACATCTGTCAGCATTGTTAACACATGGTGTTGACCACAACATCTGTCACCATTGTTAACACATGGTGTTGACCACAACATCTGTGTCAGCATTGTTAACACATGGTGTTGACCACAACATCTCTGTCTGCATTGTTAACACACATGGTGTTGACCACAACATCTGTGTCAGCATTGTTAACACATGGTGTTGACCACAACATCTCTGTCAGCATTGTTAACACACAGGTGTTGACCACAACATCTGTTAGCACTGTTAACATATGGTGTTGACCACAACATCTGTCAGCATTATTAACACACAGTGTTGACCACAACATCTGTAAGCACTGTTAACACATGGTGTTGACCACAACATCTCTGTCAGCATTGTTAACACACAGTGTTGACCACAACATCTGTTAGCACTGTTAACTCATGGTGTTGACCACTACATCTGTGTCAGCATTGTTAACACATGGTGTTGGCCACAACATCTGTTAGCATTGTTAACACATGGTGTTAATGACAACATGTGTCATCATTGTTAACACATGGTGTTGACTACTACATCCATTTCCGCATTGTTAACACATGGTGCTCACCACTACATCCATGTCAGCATTGTTAATATATGGTGTTAACCACCACATCTGTGTCAATATTAACATATGGTGTTGACCACCACATCTGTGCCAGTATTGTTAACACATGGTGTTGACTACCACATCTGTGCCAGTATTGTTAACAAATGGTGTTGACTACTACATCTGTGTCAATATTAACACATGGTGTTAACCACATGTGTCAATATTAACACATGGTGTTAACCACCACATCTATGCCAGTATTGTTAACACATGGTGTTGACCACCACATCTGTGTCAGTATTGTTAACAAATGGTGTTGAGCACCACATCTGTGTCAATATTGTTAACAAATGGTGTTGACCACCACATCTGTGTCAGTATTGTTAACACATGGTGTTGACCACCACATCTGTGCCAGTATTGTTAACAAATGGTGTTGACCACCACATCTGTGTCAGTATTGTTAACAAATGGTGTTGACCACCATATCTGTGTCAGTATTGTTAACATATGGTGTTGACCACCACATCTGTGTCAGTATTGTTAACAAATGGTGTTGACCACCACATCCGTGCCATTATTGTTAACAAATGGTGTTGACTACATCTGTGTCAGTATTGTTAACATATGGTGTTGACCACATCTGTGCCAGTATTGTTAACAAATGGTGTTGACCACCACATCTGTGTCAGGATTGTTAACAAATGGTGTTGACAACCACATCTGTGTCAGTATTGTTAATGCATTGTTTTAACCATCACATCTGTGTCAGCATTGTTAACACATGGTGTTGACCACCACATCTGTTAGCACTCTTAACTGAGTTAATCACATCTTTGTCATTATTCTTTACAAACTATGTGGATTACCAAGTATCAGCATTAGAAGACCACCACATTAATATAACATTACATATATAACTTGCAAATGATTTATGTCCTTGTATCTAAATATGGAGTTTTTTCCTGGGCATTAGATGTAGCAGCTGGTGGTTTAAGGCAGTCTGTGGTTTAAGGCTCTTCTCAGCTGACATAATGTCATGTTTGTGAAGAATCCACCATATAATAATCTTTTGGGCATCTGGGACTTTTGTACCAGATGAGGTATTTTTCCTGTCAGTGCTTCAAAATAGCAATTATATTGCTGGGAAAGGAGGATCCGACACAAGACATTTTTCACAGGCTATCTATCATCAAACACATCCAGCAAACTCATTCAACACATATATAACATCCAACAATTGTTATCATTTTTAAAAGTTCAAAGATTACAACCTCTATTACATTCGTGCCAGAAATAGTTTGTTTCGGCTGTCATTACATTATAAAACCAAATGAATTTTCAACAGAAGTCCCCCATCTCAGTCACCTGTCCATAACCAGTTCAAACACTGAAGGTATCTTCTTTCCCAAAACTCAGTCTGGTATTCTTTCCAATATAAGCAACCCAGATATGGACACAAGGTGTAGATGTAATATAAAGAACAGAAAGCCTATGTTACATTATTGCCAGAGAAAATACTCTAGGGAGCAATGGACACTGACATCTAGTAATATCCTGAGAAGATATCAGTCTAGAATGTAAAAAGAAAAGTAAAACAAAGTTCACAATTCCCCTCCGATGTGGGTCTTTTCCTTAAACAAAGCATGACTGCCTTTATCCTGAAATTTGTTTCTGAATCCATAAGATTATTTTGACAAAAAAGGTTTTCGACCAAAGATTTGTGTAGTCTTAAGTCTACTATTTGAGGTTTCAGGCTTAAGTTATGCCACAAGAAGAAACCATTTGTTCACAACAACCATCCTCAGTACTGAGTTTTAAAGTAACTCCCAAACTAGGTGTGTCTGTTTGTACAGCCATTTATCCAATCCAAATGTGTCCAATCTGGGATAAGTATGTTGACATTGGTAAAAGGAAGTAAATATGGTAGATGATGCCCACTGGCAAGCTGACATCATCTGTTTCTGTTTCAAGGACACAAGAAAGGATGAAATAACTTCCATCTTGTGCTGTCAGTGAGATCTGTATGATGGACACTGCTCTTCCACCATCGAGTAAGTGCATTTCATGGTCTTCTTCACTTAAGCTGCAACAGCACTCTTGGTGTGCTGTTTTTATCTGAGTGTTCCTGACAAGAGATCCAGAGGCCTTGAGCATTCAGTGCTTTGAAGATACCATTTAAAAGTTCTGACTGAGTATAAGTTTCTGTCTGATAAAATGGTGAATCGGGAAAGAGCTGGAATAGTGTATGATTGCTATCCTAATGGTCCCATAGCAGCATTTTGATTCTTAGCTAGAAACTCCGGAAATGCTCTATGTGTAACTGTTGATGAAACATTCCAGAACATTCTGAGTGTCACGTTATTCCCGAGGTAAAAGATCTCACATTCTTTTGACACATGGCATGACTCATATCTACATCATTTTGGACAGTTTTGTTTTTGCCTGGTCAGTTTGATGTTTGGCACAGAATCCCAAATGTTCCTATTAGATGGACGTATTTGAAAGAAATTTCCCATTCTGAAATTATCAATTGGTTTCTTTGCTTCCTATGACCTGTGACCTGCCCAACAACCAACCTTTCGAAACATGTAGTATCTCTCTCCCGGCCATTCCACAGCAGCTGTTTGGTTCTTAGCCACTAACTCTGGTAAGGTTATAATGTAATGTCTTCTGCATACATGAGTCCAGGAAAGAGGCTCAGCTGCAGGTTGCTGAGACCATGGCCCAAAAATATTAGACAATTCTGAGGAAAAGAAGTAAACACTTCTCTTGGCTGTGCATGTTCAGAGGTTTAGAAATATAGATGCCATTAGTATCTCAACTGGTTATGGATAGTTGATTGACAAAAGCACTTCTGTTGAAAATCTGAAGTTTCCGAAGTATGATGACACCCAAAATTCAGGATTTTGGGCAAAGATGTATATTGTTGGAATAAAACAATGATAACGATTGTTGGATTGCATAACATTGCAGTTTTAGACAAAATATGATGATAAAGTAAAAGTATTGAAATGACAAAGATCTCACAATAATGAAACAAAGTGGACAAAAGCAGTATCTGTATCATACCAGGAGAGATCACCAAAAGTACTTACTGGAACAGTAGGTGCTGGAAAAATGCAGCCAGGAATAGGAAAAACACACAACACAGGAATATGGTGTTCATTTGCAGGTTCTGTGGACAAAAGGAAACATACTTGTAACCTAAATACATATCACATTGCTTTCGGTTTATTAATTCTTTCACAATTGATGTGGGTTTTACCAGAGAACAAAAGGTCATGCTACCACATATGCTTAAAAAAGAAACCACAAAACATGACAAGTGAGGTACATGCGTGTGTCTGGGGGCATTCAAATGTGAGCATAAAAGATAGGTATCTTCACATTTGTTTAAGAGAGATATGGTACTTGGAATAAAGGATGTACGGGCTCTCTTAGTTTTCACAATTGGAACTTTGTAGCGGCGGCCTGAAGGGAGGAGGTTGTATTCAAAATTTAAGTAGTGAGTACGGTCAGATATGATTTTGACAGCTTGATTCACGATTTGCCGCTCATATATTGATGATAAACATTCAAATCTGACTCCAGCGATTTTACTTGCAGTGTTAACAATTTTGTCTATTTTAGATTTGAGATGAAGTGAGAGAGACCTGTACCAACAATGGAAGGAAAATGTTAAAATACTCTGAATAAAAGCTACATAAAAAGATGACATCACAGTTGGGTTAACATTAAAAGATCTCAGTTTACGCATGAGATGAAGACGTTGTTGACACTTTTTGTATAGGGCTTCAGTGTTAGAGTTCTAGTTCAGCTTAGAGTCAATGAAGGTTCCCAGATACTTATACTCCGGGAAGTATCTGGGAACCTTCATATATTGATATATGATTGACAATCGAAAATGTAATGTGACAAATGTAATTGTGTCTCAATGCATATACTGTACCTGGAAGTATATGGTATTCTCATTTGGCATGATAAGTTTCTGACAGCATGAGATTTTGATGCAGACATATGACTTAGTCTGAAGGATATTGTTAGATTGAGCCTGCAGGCACAAGATCATGACAAAGCAGAATATGACTGAGCTATATGATTATGTTCCTGATTGAGTACTCACTTGCAGGAGGATGACAACAACAAGCAGGTTGAGAGGAATACGGAAAACATTCATGATGGTGGCTCGGGCTGAAAATGAAAGAAAATTTAAATACATCATATGATCAAGGTATCTGTGTATTGGGGAACATTTAGCACTGGGCAGATCAAGGTATCTGTGTATTGGGGAACAGTTGGCACTGGGCAGATCAAGGTATCTGTGTATTGGGGAACAGTTGGCACTGGGCAGATCAAGGTATCTGTGTATTGGGGAACAGTTGGCACTGGGCAGATCAAGGTATCTGTGTATTGGGGAACACTTGGCACTTGGAAGATCAAGGTATCTGTGTATTGGGGAACACTTGGCACTTGGAAGATCAAGGTATCTGTGTATTGGGGAACACTTGGCACTGGGCAGATCAAGGTATATGTGTATTGGGGAACAACTCGCACTGGGCAGATCAAGGTATCTGTGTATTGGGGAACAGCTCGCACTAGGCAGATCAAGGTATATGTGTATTGGGGAAAAGTTGGCACTGGGAAGCTCAAGTTATCTGTGTATTGGCAGATCAAGTTCTCTGTGTATTTGGAACAACTTGCACTGGGCAGATTAAGGTATCTGTGTATTGGGGAACATTTGGCATTGGGCAGATCAAGGTATCTGTGTATTGGGGAACAGCTCGCACTGGGAAGCTCAAGTTATCTGTGTATTGGAGAACATTTGGCACTGGGCAGATCAAGGTATATGTGTATTGGGGAACAGTTGGCACTGGGCAGATTAAGGTATCTGTGTATTGGGGAACAGCTCGCACTAGGCAGATCAAGGTATCTGTGTATTGGGGAACAGCTCGCACTAGGCAGATCAAGGTATCTGTGTATTGGGGAACAGCTCGCACTAGGCAGATCAAGGTATATGTGTATTGGGGAACAGCTTGCACTAGGCAGATCAAGGTATATGTGTATTGGGGAACAGCCCGCACTAGGCAGATCAAGGTATCTGTGTATTGGGGAACAGCTCGCACTAGGCAGATCAAGGTATCTGTGTATTGGGGAACAGCTCGCACTAGGCAGATCAAGGTATCTGTGTATTGGGGAACAGTTGCACTAGGCAGATCAAGGTATCTGTGTACTGGGGAACAGCTCGCACTAGGCAGATCAAGGTATCTGTGTATTGGGGAAAAGTTGGCACTGGGAAGCTCAAGTTATCTGTGTATTGGGGAAAAGTTGGCACTGGGAAGCTCAAGTTATCTGTGTATTGGCAGATCAAGTTATCTGTGTATTTGGGAACAACTCGCACTGGGCAGATCAAGGTATCTGTGTATTGGGGAACAGCTCGCACTAGGCAGATCAAGGTATCTGTGTAACGGGCAAATCAAGGTATCTGTGTATTGGGGAAAAGTTGGCACTGGGAAGCTCAAGTTATCTGTGTATTGGCAGATCAAGTTATCTGTGTATTTGGGAACAACTCGCACTGGGCAGATCAAGGTATCTGTGTATTGGGGAACAGCTTGCACGGGGCAGATCAAGGTATCTGTGTATTGGGGAACAGCTCGCACTGGGAAGCTCAAGGTATCTGTGTATTCGGGAACAGCTCGCACTAGGCAGATCAAGGTATCTGTGTAATGGGCAGATCAAGGTATATGTGTATTGGGGAACAGTTGGCACTGGGAAGATCAAGGTATCTATGTATTGGACAGATCATGGTATCTCGGTATTGGGCAGATCAAGGTATCTGGGTATAGGGAAGAAGGAGGTATATGTGTATTGGGGCATTGGGAAGATCAAGGTATCTGTGTATTGGGCAGATCAAGGTATCTGTGTATTGGGGAACAGCTGGTACTGGGCAGATCAAGGTATCTGTGTATTGGGCAGATCAAGGTATCTGCGTATTGGGGAAGATCACTGGGCAGATCAAGGCACACATTCACCTGCCTTTCAAAATATGTATTACTGATGTCCTAGGCATTTTAGAGCAGCAGTCTGGTCACTCTGCCACAACCATCTTTCCAACAGCCTTTAACAGTGTTGCTTAAGCCCTTTCTTTTTTAATTCAAGTATGCTTTCCATGTGGTAATCCAACATGGCCATAAGCAAGAGTGTAAATCCAGTTGTGAAACTGCACCTGATTATTGCCTGTGACAGCATTTTCATTTACACCATATGCATGAAATTGTGAATATAGGTCCAAGTCATAATATCATGTGAAAGCAAATGTACAGTACACAACCCTGTGCACTTAAAAGAACCCACGAATCCGTTGGTATATGACCAGATGGTGGCCACATGAATACGTGCAAACACCTAGTTGCGGGTACAGCAACGTGCAGTAAACTTGGACAAAGTACTGTGACTATATGTCCCAGTCTACCCAGCTGTGAATGGGTAAGGATGGGAAAGCTGCAATAACTCGGTGTGCCTTGTGGCTGCAAGAGCTGTATACTCCCCAGGGAGTTGAGACTGATAATATTGAGGTGCCGTTGAGATTGACATCCAATGATTGAGGAAAAAAATACCAGCGCCTTGAGCATGCACTAGTTGCCTGCATATGTGCGCCATATAAATATCCTATAATAATAATAATAATAATAATAAAAAAGCAATGTGCATGATTTTAGGCACCACAACTAACTTCAAGCTGCGCCAAATGTTCAGACAAGAGCTACCTAATTAATTATCATTCACAGGTTCCTAAACATGGTTGCTACAGCCATGTTTAAAACTGGATTGGAATTCTGCAAGTACATTTTGAGATATCTTACATATGACCAGGGATCTCAAATCATTGTTCAAGATATCTGTCAATGCTCAGATACATATATACTATTCAGATGAGTCATCAGCAACTAATACTTTATGGACTGATGTGCATCCCTAATGTAGATGTGTACATACACCCACTATTTCGATGAAAAGGTTCAAGTTTGAGATACAAAATGGAAACGTGATTCCTCATTTTAAACAATGAGAATCAAGCGTTGTGGAAACTCACTTTCTTCAGGTACATATTTTCCCCTCATTGTGCCAAGAGAGGGCCAGAAGATCCCAACACACATCTCAAACACCAAGAAGCCTGAGAATATGACTGCTTGGTTCTGAAACATAAATTACACAGCTGTACAGATTGAAACAAACATTATGAACCCAAACTAACAGTTTCAAACATCAGATTAAGACATCTAAATTAAGATGCTGTCAGCATATACATTCAAATATTTTCTGAATACAAACAGAGGGGATAATGAAACAATGTTTGACTGGTTGCTTTATTGGTTGTCTTGCAAAATCAATATTCCAAAAATCAGGTACAATCATTGTGGTGGGTAAAACAAATGTGGACAACACCCAACTGGTCTCTCATATCATTGACATTTTCCTGCTGTGTACGTGACCGGTGTCGGCCCGATAAAGTGAAATTTCAATATTCCCTATTCCCACATGTTCCAGTTCGTCTACCGTTTGCTGTCCTGGACTACACTGATCACGTCGCTGACCTGATCCACCTTCATTGATCCACCTCCACATGATCCATCAATGTGACTTATCGGTGAACAGTGGCTCAAACATTCATTGTTATTTATTTATTACATTTCTACCATGACTACGGTATCACACGACGACACACATTTCTTTGTTTTTCTTGTGTATTGAGAGTTCAGGGAACGCTAAATTCAGTCTGCACTGTAGCTTGAAAGCGACACCTAATTTGATGAGGTTTCATCCAGATTTTGCTTTCCCGGGCCATAACCATGTGACCAGCTCTGATCACCTTACTCCTTTATTAGCTTGTGACAGCAAGTACACATTAGTGGGGATGGTGGAGCCTTTTTATAACTGAGAATAACCATGGACTTATCATTCTCTTCCCACAGAGGTTACTCCTATCATATCTTCCTACGTAACCTCTGTTCTAATACGACCATATTTCCCGGTTCTCGTAAAATCCCCTAGCGGCAAAAGATCGCAACACGAATTATCCCCCTTCTTTCTATCCAATCAGAACACGTGTTACATCGACTTAGATTCAACTTGACTAACACAAGCAAATGTGGGGCCACAAATATCCCCCATCTGCCGGGGACTTGTGTTGATGCTACACACAAGACGTTTAATGGCTAGCTTGTCCGTTGTCAACGAGGGCGATGGAGACGCCACTGATCCGCCATAACATGACTGAGTTCTGTCTAGAAGAAACGTTTGCGCATCGCGCAGGGGAAAAGGTTTAGTTTTCTCGAAACATACGGAAATAACCGAGGCCTTGCGAATGATCACTTTTGAAACAACGTCGCTGATTGCACAACTAAATCTGATTGCCTCCAATCACGAGTCTTGAACGCTCACACCATGAAAGGGCCGTAATAGAACAGAGGTTACGTAGGAAGATATGACAGGAGTAACCTCTGTGGGAAGAGAATGTGGACTTATAGGAACCAATCAAATTTCAATCAAGGTTCTTTCTGCATTAATAAATGTTGTATGTTTTAGGAGCATCCCTGGAATTCAGTATCACAATTTCTCGGGGGGACAATCTCTGCAGCAGAACCCATTTATATACCCTTTCATCCAATGAATTAAATTGAAACCCCAAAACACGAAACAATGATTAACTCAGCGTATTCAGCGTAGCATGTAGAGATGATTGATTACTGAGAGGAGCTTACACTCTCCCAGTCACCCCAGCAACATAATAACTATTGAGACCTGCTTGTGAAAGTGTGTGTAATGATTCCAAAGGAACACCATGAATCATGGAAACAAATGTATAATTCCCCATACAAAGGTTTTAAATTTCGAGCATTATGTGATTCTTCAGACGAATAAATAAACTGTCATGCCTTTCCTAAAAACTAAACACCCTAATGTTAATAAACATCTAAATACAGTTACAGAATATTTCTGTCAGTTGTATCTGACAAGAAAATAGAAAAGAGTTTGCAATATGCATCCCCTTCACTTTTTCCTTGTGACATTAGCCTTTCACTTATCTTGAGCAAAACATCATCTCAGGTCCTATCACACAGTTGTGTATCAACATTCGTGATCATGTAAAACCATTGGAAAAAGCCTGGTCAAATAACTGAAGCGAGCTTTTTTCACAGTAACCATGGTCTGTCTCATGGCATGTGACATACTGTGCTGAACATTTGCACAAAATGAATTCTTACTGATTTTCAATCCTTCTAAAAAAATTAGAAAATTATTGTATTATTGAACTTATAACAGTTCAGTATTGTTATGGCGACAAGCATCTCGCCTGAACTGTAACACATTTGGTGAAACCAATTTCTGCAACATAGGCTTTGACACCAAACATGTCGACATGTAAACTGATCATGAAGCAGCCTCGACACAACTGGAATGTACAAAATAATGCACAGTGGGGACTCAAGGCTTGAGGATCACCTTCACAGAGCTACATCCAGATCAGAGCAAGACATTCAATGGTATCTCTGTGATGTGATGTCAAGTCACTGCATGGTTTAAACAATACAATGCAGCAGTGGTACATGAGGACTGACATGGGGCTGCTTAATCCACTGGTAACAAGGAAAGCAATCTATCCTTGAGTATGAGGATGTAAGTGCATTGAATTGTATGCCATTTTGAACAGGGTGTCTGAAGGAAACAGCTCCGCAGAGCAAATTGGTTGCCTTTGACCACATCATACCCAGTTGGTGTGAGCACATGTGGCAATACTGTGGTACATGCCCAGACAACAACACAGATACCTACCCCTGGGAACAGTATAGGTGTCAACAGAGTAAGGGCAGCCGTAAACAGCACGGGTCTGAAAGTAATTGGAACATTTCAGAAAGACAAAAGGAAAAAGTGAACTGAACTTAATCATATTCACAAATAATTTAAACACAACAATGCATTTCACTTGGCAACCATCAAAAGAACTTCTGACTCCCTCACAACAGGGTGACCACAGTACCTCTTGACATGGATCAGGCAGGGACTTTGGCCACTAGTCTGAAGCCTTACAGTGTTATAGTCACATAATAACTTGGATGATTCATACAAGTTTTAGCTCGGCCTAGTATTTCAAGAGAATATGTCAGCTAACACTTGATAACTGTTACTCGATCAAAAGATCAAAAATTATGTGAGAACCTCACTGCACATTTTGATGTCCTGTAACTGTTGTGGTGGCTGATATGACATTCAGATTCAAACCTCTTTAACCAATTCAGATGTCACCAGTCAAAGGGATAAGTGGCTTATGAGCTGATTACAAGTTTACAGAGTGACAAAAGCAGTTTGAGGGAATTTAGGTGCATAGTCAAATTGCAATGGTCAAACAAAGGTTAAGATATAAAACTTACAATGTTGCAATTATGATCCCCTGCTACTAATTATAACCCATTTTAACTACACTTTTAAACAAATGCTGTGATGGTTATATTGAAACATGCCTTGACATATGTCAAGATTTTCTTGATTTTCTTGTCAAGTCAGTTAATAAACAGGATCTTTTCAATTTCAGGTTCACCTTTTCAGCCAGTCCAAATCAAATTGATAGACACACCATACCACATATGCACCTTATAGTGATCTACGTGTGAGTGGAAGACTCAGTAATAGATACAAATACAAAACAAACATTACCTCATAAATGACTCTATAGATGTGAATTTGGACAAAACTTTGAAAACAGATGAGCCGAACATCACAGCCACCTGAAATATAAGGCAATAACATAAAACATTATGAGATATAGCAATACACTTATGCAATATTTCCAAGTGCCCCAGTATGGGAGAAGGCAGCAGCTGCTTTTGCTTGGCAAGCTTGGAAAGCTGTGGACCGCATTATTAAATGTATTGCAAGAAAATATTACACCAATTGATAACTGATGTGAATGTGCCATCTTGACAGAGCAATGGCACCAAGGATTCATGAGATCACTGGGGAGATAAAATGCTTCATCTCATTAAATATAAACATTTTTTTGTATGTTTATGTACTTCTTCCAATCTTTGGCTTTTAGTGAAGGGTTTTAGAAAATGTGTGTATATGCACAGACTTGTATCACTTAAATTGTAATAGATAGGACAGGTTCCTGCTTCATGTACAAACAAAAATACCTACCATGAATGCAGCAAAAATGTGACCATGTGGAATTGTCCCGTGATGTCCTTCGTTATCCTCCAGTAGGTGGCGTTTAGCAGCAGCACCTGTGACAGGTGCCTTGGGTGTGAGTGCTGGGGTCCATTCCAGTACAAACACATACATGGAACCCTCAAATAATGACTGGATCAAACCAAGATACAGCACTTTGTTATCTGGAACATCCACAACAATATTGTTACAAGGTGATTTCGAAACTGAAAGGCAGGGGTTCCCACAGAAATTACCGTACAGAAACTAAATAAAGAAATCAACAACAAAAAAATGATAGATCAATGAAGTATTCACTCTTAATGAAACTTATATTGAAACATACATTATCGGCATTAATACTGGGAATAATGAGGACTCTCTCTTCATGGATGCATTCTGATGGTATTTGGAAAGAAGCATACATTACAGAAAAGAATCTACATGCATAAGGCTAAAATATATTTTCAGTGAAAGGCATGTTTTTTTTACACTGCAAAGTTTTATATGATGTTGATGACCTTGATCTTTGACATAAAATATATTCAAGTAATATAGTAACACAAGACTTTAAAATAACAGCAGTAAAAGGTGCATTACCTAAAATACTATATGAATTATCTTCATTTTGACCTTGGCCTCATACACAGGCCACACATGACATTTTCCAAACTAGATGAAGCCACAACATATAAATCTGTCCAGAAAATATCCCAGGTTGAAAAAGGGAAATATGCATGAGATGTTATCCTTAACATGTCCAAGCACCCAATGGATTCAAAGACAACGTGGTGAAACAATCATGCTATCTCCAAGAACATTCACATTGCCATGTGTCTCCACAAAACACAAAAAACTTCCCACTATTGATGGTAGCACATACAGCAAGGACATGAGGCTGGTTTCATAGGAAGAACAATACTGTTCAGATGAAAGTAAAAAGGACATCTGTTGAACACCTAAAGATCATTCATTATGTCATGACAGCCGAAATACACAATATCTGGCAATGATGTAATAGAAATATGGGATTAGTCAGAAGAAACGTGTTGATACCATTTACTTTTATAATTAAAACAAATTGGAAAACGTTTAATATTTCAGGCAATATTTGTCTCATATCTGAAGCTGATTCTCCTGTTTTTGTTGTTGTCAAATTACTATCATCAAGTCAAGTTATAAACTTGTTTATGCTTATTTCAAAGTGAGTAAGAAATTATACCAAACAAGAAAAACCCCAATAGTAAACATAGCTGATAAATATCTGGCATTACTTACAATAGGAAAGCCGGAAATGGTGCAAGTGTTGGGTGTTTACCACTTTGGTGAAACAAACCTGGTACTTGCTGACAAACAGTGACAGCAGATAGTAGTGCTGTGCATACGTGACGAGGAATTCCTTATCATCAAAGAAATTGAACCATCTGACTACATGTATAAACAATCTAATATTCAGGGAGGAAAGGTGGTCTTGAGAACTAGTATTTCAGTCAGATATGCAATTGATTTCTTCAAAAGGAGCCAAACAATGCCTTTGTACACACAACAGTTTAATTTTCAGGTCATCCATCAGGTCCAGTGAATGGAGAACTTGAACAGAGAATATATTCTCTGAGCATTTTTTATAACTTTGTTCTTAAACACCCCGTGAACCATCCAGAATATCCATAGTTCAGCCCCCTCTACACAGTACAGAAACATGTAACTGACAGCTGAGGATAAAACCAACCTGTTCTAATGGAATGCAAGGCATTGGAAAATGACTGTTTGAAGTTGCTGGTCTTGTCACCATAGTTCTCCGGCCAGGAGAATATGATGATTACAATCATAATGATCAACACTGCCATAGATAAATCAAATGGAGCTCTGGAAGAAAACAAAAACACATGGAATAATAGTTGAGATAACTTCATCTACCAGTCATGGCAACCTCAAGTCATGGCATACTAGTGAGGTTTTATTGATTCCTTATTGTCATATTCAGCAATACACCAGGTACATGATCACAGACTATAGAATATATAGGCTGGAACACACCATGCAGTGATTGATACAGAGAACACCTATCCACCTCATCAGGACAGACAGTCAGCCAAGTCACGTATCTATTTTGTCACCTCTTCGACCAACATAGCATGAAGGGGTTTAGTTCTAAACCAGAATCACCATGGGGATCACATACACTTCAGTAATCCAGAACCATGCATACTGAGTATTCTTATATGATACACCAACACACCTGGCATGATACACCAACAACACTTACATGATACACCAACACATCTGGCATGATACACCAACACACCTTATATGATACACCAACACACCTTACATGATACACCAACACACCTTACATGATACACCAACACACCTTATATGATACACCAACACACCTTATATGATACACCAACAACACCTTACATGATACACCAACACACCTTACATGATACACCAACACACCTTACATGATACACCAACACACACCAACACACCTTACATGATACACCAACACACCTTACATGATACACCAACACACCTTATATGATACACCAACACACCTTACATGATACACCAACACACCTTATATGATACACCAACACACCTTACATGATACACCAACACACCTTACATGATACACCAACACACCTGGCATGATACACCAACAACACTTACATGATACACCAACACACCTGGCATGATACACCAACACACCTTATATGATACACCAACACACCTTACATGATACACCAACACACCTTACATGATACACCAACACACCTTACATGATACATCAACACACCTGGCATGATACACCAACACAACTTACATGATACACCAACACACCTCACATGATACACCAACACACCTTAGATGATACACCAACACACCTTACATGATACATCAACACACCTCACATGATACACCAACGATACACCAACACACCTCACATGATACACCAACACACCTTACATTATACATCAACACACCTCACATGATACACCAACACACCTTACATTATACATCAACACACCTCACATGATACACCAACACACCTCACATGATACACCCACACCTTACATGATACACCAACACAACTTACATGATACACCAACACACCTCACATGATACACCAACACACCTCACATGATACACCAACACACCTCACATGATACACCAACACACACCACATGATACACCAACACACCTCACATGATACACCAACACACACCACATGATACACCAACACACACCACGATACACCAACACATCTGGCATGAAACACCAACACACCTTACATGTACATCAACACACCTCACATGATACACCAACACACCTCACGATACACCAATACTCCTTAAACTGTGAAAGGACTGACTGACTGAGTTTAGTTTTACGCCGCTTTTAGCAATATTCCAGCAATATCATGGCGGGGGACACCAGAAATGGGCTTAACACATTGTGCCCATGTGGGGAATCGAACCCGGGTCTTCGGCGTGACGAGCCAATGCTTTAACCACTAGGCTACCCCACCGCCCCCTGTAAAAGGAGGTGAGGATAGGTCTTGTAATGTAAGTCACATGATGAACAGAATACTGACTTACATTTTCTTAAACTTCCGTATTCAAAGTACATGCATGTAAAATATCTTTGAATTTGCCTGAAAGAAATCAACATTTTACTTCTGTGAAAAGTCGCATTTTGTCTGCTCTTTACTATTTATCCAAAGTTTACTTGCTTTCACTTTACATTTTGTAACAAAACTGATGGTTTTCTTTATAGGAAACATCAAGATAATATGTGCAATAAATTCTTTAACTGCTTGTGTCATTTGTAAATTGCCATTGACTATTGTGTTAAGATGTAATGTCAGTCTAACCCCCTGTTTTCAACATAAACAGTATGCTTCAGTAGCAGTTAAAATGCTATGTTAAAATCAATGGGATTAATCAATGCTTTAATATGAAGCCACCAGTTGACAAATCAATGAGATCAGGCTGTTACCGTCCGTAATCTTCTCAATGAGTTCCACAAAAGCTGTTACAGTCTTTAGAGATATATTTCAGCCACTGATATAGCCATAGATCCATTCAGCCCTGTGTAGCACAGGCTGTTTTCAGTGTGAAGAGTGGTATCACCATTGATCACATAGCTCCTTAGTGCATACATACATGCTGCTGGTAGAGTAGGGGTTCAGTGTGAAGAGTGGTATCACCATTGATCACATAGCTCCTTAGTGCATACATACATGCTGCTGGTAGAGTAGGGGTTCAGTGTGAAGAGTGGTATCACCATTGATCACATAGCTCCTTAGTGCATATATACATGCTGCTGGTAGAGTAGGGGTTCAGTGTGAAGAGTGGTATCACCATTGATCACATAGCTCCTTAGTGCATACATACATGCTGCTGGTAGAGTAGGGGTTCAGTGTGAAGAGTGGTATCACCATTGATCACATAGCTCCTTAGTGCATACATACATGCTGCTGGTAGAGTTGGGGTTCAGTGTGAAGAGTGGTATCACCATTGATCACATAGCTCCTTAGTGCATACATACATGCTGCTGGTAGAGTAGGGGTTCAGTGTGAAGAGTGGTATCACCATTGATCACATAGCTCCTTAGTGCATACATACATGCTGCTGGTAGAGTAGGGGTTCAGTGTGAAGAGTGGTATCACCATTGATCACATAGCTCCTTAGTGCATACATACATGCTGCTGGTAGAGTAGGGGTTCAGTGTGAAGAGTGGTATCACCATTGATCACATAGCTCCTTAGTGCATACATACATGCTGCTGGTAGAGTAGGGGTTCAGTGTGAAGAGTGGTATCACCATTGATCACATAGCTCCTTAGTGCATACATACATGCTGCTGGTAGAGTAGGGGTTCAGTGTGAAGAGTGGTATCACCATTGATCACATAGCTCCTTAGTGCATATATACATGCTGCTGGTAGAGTAGGGGTTCAGTGTGAAGAGTGGTATCACCATTGATCACATAGCTCCTTAGTGCATACATACATGCTGCTGGTAGAGTAGGGGTTCAGTGTGAAGAGTGGTATCACCATTGATCACATAGCTCCTTAGTGCATACATACATGCTGCTGGTAGAGTTGGGGTTCAGTGTGAAGAGTGGTATCACCATTGATCACATAGCTCCTTAGTGCATACATACATGCTGCTGGTAGAGTAGGGGTTCAGTGTGAAGAGTGGTATCACCATTGATCACATAGCTCCTTAGTGCATACATACATGCTGCTGGTAGAGTAGGGGTTCAGTGTGAAGAGTGGTATCACCATTGATCACATAGCTCCTTAGTGCATACATACATACATGCTGCTGGTAGAGTAGGGGTTCAGTGTGAAGAGTGGTATCACCATTGATCACATAGCTCCTTAGTGCATACATACATGCTGCTGGTAGAGTAGGGGTTCAGTGTGAAGAGTGGTATCACCATTGATCACATAGCTCCTTAGTGCATACATACATGCTGCTGGTAGAGTAGGGGTTCAGTGTGAAGAGTGGTATCACCATTGATCACATAGCTCCTTAGTGCATACATACATGCTGCTGGTAGAGTAGGGGTTCAGTGTGAAGAGTGGTATCACCATTGATCACATAGCTCCTTAGTGCATACATACATGCTGCTGGTAGAGTAGGGGTTCAGTGTGAAGAGTGGTATCACCATTGATCACATAGCTCCTTAGTGCATACATACATGCTGCTGGTAGAGTAGGGGTTCAGTGTGAAGAGTGGTATCACCATTGATCACATAGCTCCTTAGTGCATACATACATGCTGCTGGTAGAGTAGGGGTTCAGTGTGGGAACCCTAACATATCCGGCAGAGATGGAAAAAATGTCCACATTATTATATGTCACAATAGTAAGGTGACAGATTGATTCATACTCCGTGTGTGCGTGGGTCCATAGATAGAGGCATAATACATGCAATCTCTAGTACAGAACATGATAAATTCCAAGAAAGCTTTCAACTATCATGATTGTTTACTGTGGGGTTATTTATGCTACCTCAACAGATGCTCTCTCATCCTTTTGGAAACTGAGCAGATACTGCCATACTTTTTAAAATATAATCCATTCTTATAATACTGTGACATGAGTAAAATTATGATCATCCAGCAAAAACTCAGGAAAATTCAGGAAAGTCTGCTTTCAGAATATAAGATTCTAATAATATCCAAGTGTCCAAAGTTTGGTTTTTCTTCTAATACCATCTGGTGATAAACCTTGAGCATTGCTCATGAGTCAGAAACACTGGATCTTTTGTCATGCTCAGTTCATTTTTAGAATGTACTCAACCATCTTAACTCTACTGGCTATGTGACCTGTGGGGAGTCGATGATCTTCTAAAGTCATATTGTGTGTTTCATCAACATTTTCCTTTGTGATTGCAGTAACTGGTCCTCCTATTTTGGATCACCTACAAGGTTTTCTCTCTCTCCCCCCACCCCCACCCCCTTTTAAACTCTGCTGCCCACTTCTTAAAGGGGCAGAAGAAAGAGCACCATCCTCTAAAGTCCACATGGATGGTTGTTGGAAATGGAGAATCTTGATGACAGTGAAGTACTTATTATACACCCTAAGCAGTCTTCTGTGCACTACAGCAGGATATTTCAACTTTCCTAGTGGCCAGCTCCAACACACTGGTAATTAGATTGCTGGTCCTGGCTTGTCACCAGCACTGTCTTAACAACTTTCCTAGTGGCCAGCTCCAACACACTGGTAATTAGATTGCTGGTCCTGGCTTGTCACCAGCACTGTCTTAACAACTTTCCTAGCTTCATAACTCACCCAGTCTCAACAGGAAATATTGTCATTCATATTTGGTGAGAGACACTTCATGTGGTGGAAATTACCCACTCTGATTACAATGTCTTCTCTAAAATTAATCCAGCAGGCTGGGCACGGAAGGGTGAAAACCAATGAGCAAGATAAATGTTAAATGCAGGAAGAGTCAGTCACAAAACAGGAATGCCCAGCCTAAGACATCCATATTTTACCATATGTTCACACGTTTTCTCATGTGAACACGTGACTTGCCCTTCAGGTGTTTGTGAACGGATGCCACTGCCTACCAAGAGGCAGGATAGTCACCTTTACTTGGCTCAAGATATGGTTGGAATCATATAATCGAGGAATTATTTCTTGATGTATTTAACACTTTCTAATATCTGCAATGAAAATATACTTGTTTGATTACCCATAACATGGTCATGGTAGAATGAAGTTTTTACATGTTCAGAATGAGTTAATGGCCACCTGTTTATTACAACATCTGAAGTGTAACACCTCCCTTCACCTATGGCTTAAACCCTAATTTGAGATGGTGAACATATGTTAACTTCAAAAAGGAGTTTCCTAGTTCATTTAGTCAGCCTTTTGAGGTTTCTGGGCTGGGAAATAGCTCAAAGCTCCAGTGTCAGGCTGGAGTGGTTCTTCAGAGTGAAGGGCAGTACAGGAGTCTTGGCAGCAGAGAGGATCTCCAACAATCCAGGTTGCTTGAGACTAGGAAATTCAACACTTCTTGCCATCCCATGTACACTGGAAGCTGCCCTAATGCCAAAGTAATTGTGATAGAAATGCACTGGCGGTTGTTGTACACTGGTAGTTGTCCAAATGTGAAGGTGATAGGGAAAGGAAGTGAGTGAGTAAATGTTGCTTTAAGCTGCATCAGCAATTTTACAGCTATTCACGGCTTGGGGAAAGGAAGACTCTGGAAGTTGTCCAGATACCAAGGTGATTGTGATAGGAAGGAACTGGAAGGTGATGTATAGTGATAGTTGTCCAGATGCCAAGGTGATTGTGATAGGAAGGAACTGGAAGGTGATGTACACTGATAGTTGTCCAGATGCCAAGGTGATTGTGATAGGAAGGAACTGGAAGGTGATGTATAGTGATAGTTGTCCAGATGCCAAGGTGATTGTGATAGGAAGGATACGGAAGGTGATGTATAGTGATAGTTGTCCAGATGCCAAGGTGATTGTGATAGGAAGGATACGGAAGGTGATGTATAGTGATAGTTGTCCAGATGCCAAGGTGATTGTGATAGGAAGGAACTGGAAGGTGATGTACACTGATAGTTGTCCAGATGCCAAGGTGATTGTGATAGGAAGGAACTGGAAGGTGATGTATAGTGATAGTTGTCCAGATGCCAAGGTGATTGTGATAGGAAGGAACTGGAAGGTGATGTACAGTGATAGTTGTCCAGTGATGTCCAGATGCCAAGGTGATTGTGATAGGAAGGAACTGGAAGGTGATGTACAGTGATAGTTGTCCAGATGCCAAGGTGATTGTGATAGGAAGGAACTGGAAGGTGATGTACACTGATAGTTGTCCAGATGCCAAGGTGATTGTGATAGGAAGGAACTGGAAGGTGATGTACACTGATAGTTGTCCAGATGCCAAGGTGATTGTCATAGGAAGGAACTGGAAGGTGATGTATAGTGATAGTTGTCCAGATGCCAAGGTGATTGTGATAGGAAGGAACTGGAAGGTGATGTATAGTGATAGTTGTCCAGATGCCAAGGTGATTGTCATAGGAAGGAACTGGAAGTCGATGTATAGTGATAGTTGTCCAGATGCCAAGGTGATTGTGATAGGAAGGAACTGGAAGGTGATGTATAGTGATAGTTGTCCAGATGCCAAGGTGATTGTGATAGGAAGGAACTGGAAGGTGATGTACACTGATAGTTGTCCAGATGCCAAGGTGATTGAAAAAGGAAGGCACTGTGTAAGCTGTGTAATACAAACTATATGTTGCTGTGTTTGGCTCAAAATGGTTTACAGTAAATTCCTGCAATATTACTACTGCACTGCTATATGTGGTATGTACATAGCAGCAAATGCTGAGAGGACCTGTCCTGAATACATGTATGATCACCCAATATGTAATTGTTGTTAAAAAACTATGTTGAAAGTTGAGTGGGTGAATGTTGTTTTACAAGACTGACAGCAATACTGTAGCCATATCAATGTGGCCCACAGATAACCAAGTCAACATGTATGGTACTCACTATCATCCATGTCACATACTTAAACCATCCATTTCATAACTAAAGAAAATAGGTACATAATAATGTTTATACTCACACAAATCCAAACTGATCAGCAAAGAACTGTGCAACAAGACCTGCCACAATGGCCACCAGAGAGTTGCCAAGAATAGCATTGCTGAAGATATTGCCAAGTAAATCCTGATCAAATCCTCTCTGTAAGACAAAAGTATCCACATAAAAGTGAAGTACTGCAGTCAATGTAGAGAAACCTCTTGTCTTTGAAAATCATGACCACATACTTTTACACATACAAGCATGGGTACACACCATGACACACACAAGCATGGGTACATACCATGACTCACACAAGCATGGGTACACACCATCACTCACACAGGCATGGGTACACACCATCACTCCCACAAGCATTGGTACACACCATCACTCAAACAGGCATGGGTACACACCATCACTCACACAAGCATAGGCAAACACCATCACTCACACAAGCATGGGCACACACCTTGACTCATACAAGCATGGGCACACACCTTTACTCATATAGGCATGGACACCTTGACTCACACAAGCATAGACACACACCTTGACTCATACAAGCATGGGCACATATTTGTCTAATATAAGCATGGGAACACACCTTGACTCATATAAACATGCGTATACGCATTGACTCATAAAAGCATGGGCATACACATCGACTTACACAAGAAGCATGGACACACACCTTGATTCACACAAGAAGCATGGACACACACCTTGATTCACACAAGAAGCATGGGCACACACCTTGATTCACACATGAAGCATGGACACACATCTTGATTCACACATGAAGCATGGACACACACCTTTATTCACACAAGAAGCATGGACACACACCTTGATTCACACATGAAGCATGGACACACACCTTGATTCACACAGGAAGCATGGACACACACCTTGATTCACACAGGAAGCATGGACACACACCTTGATTCACACCAGAAGCATGGACACACATTTTGATTCACACAAGAAGCATGGACACACACCTTGATTCACACAAGAAGCATGGACACACACCTTGATTCACACAAGAAGCATGGACACACACCTTGATTCACACAAGAAGCATGGACACACACCTTGATTCACACAAGAAGCATGGACACACACCTTGACTCACACAGGAAGCATGGAGACACACCTTGCCTCACACAAGAAGCATGGACACACACCTTGACTCACACAAGCATGGACACACACCTTGACTCATATAAGCATGGACACACACCTTGCCTCACACAAGCATGGACACACACCTTGACTCACACAGGAAGCATGGACACACACCTTGACTCATATAAGCATGGACACACACCTTGCCTCACACAAGCATGGACACACACCTTGACTCACACAGGATCAGTACTCACACAAGCATGGGCTCACCTTGTCTCACACTGGAAGCATGGACTAGTTTCAGCTGGACAAACAATTATTATAAGAAATATTCCATGAGATAAGATACTATTCCTACCTTGTTGTGTTCATAGACGAGCCAGGATTCAAAGGCACTGTAAAGGATGGAGGTTGCCATACCTCCCAAAAATCTCCCTACCATCAGGATCCAGAAGTTGTTGAAATGCTGCAACATCGAAGAAAACAGTACAATTATCTCAAACAATCTGCTGTCCTTAACTGTAGAAGTTCACTTACCTCAGTTTGGCAAATTCAGAAGATTAGAAGATTAACACACAAAGATAACACCAAGGCAAAGCTATAAAATATCCAATAATTCAGAACATGTGCACAGGGTTCTTCAACTATGTCAACAGGAAAAAACAAATATGTTCCCATTCATATGAAACATAAACAAATTGGATCTGAATTTTTTTAACACATTACGATACTATTATTGAAGGGAACATGCATGAGCATTTACAGGGCTCCAGATAAGGGTCATATCAGCGTATGTATGGATAAATAATATGCAAGATACGGTAGGAAATGATTTAGAAAGCATAGCAGATACGCACCACTTGTACGGTCTTAGAATCATTTACAGACATATTTATCGGAAAAAGTATTGTTTTATTGTTTACTGACCTGTTACACAAGAGTAGCATGTTGTGGTGCATATATGAAACAAAACACAAGATTACTGATACTCCATTAAATTCCATTCAGTACTCTAAATGTACTCTTATTGTTTTCCAGTACTCCTATATTGTAAAAATAAGGAGTACGTACTCCTGATCATGAAAAATTATCTGGAACCTTGCATTAAGCTTTGATAATTTAGTTGTTTCTGAGGAGGAGATGTTAACAACAGATAGACACTATACAACACATGCCACATCATGACTGTCACTAGCTACTGTTGATATGGTGAGCCACTGAGTATTTTATCATTCACATCAGGAGGGAGTATTCAAAATATTTCTACTCCCTTTTATCCAGTTTAAAGACTATATTTCCCATGAAAGAGTCATCATTTGGAAAAAAAAACCAATTCTGCACAAAATGCTGTTTGAGGTGACTTTTAAACTACATCTGTTTATACACTTTCCTCTGTGTGTCACATGTCCCATAAGCTAACAAGCATGACACCCATGTTCCTGCAGTGAGCAAACTGTAGCACAACTGTGTGTTATTCACTGATGGAAAGCATGGACATGTGGACCCCGTATCTGAAGCTGAAGGAATTAAGGTATGGGGGGAATGCCAGTACACAAGACTGAAGGCCATATTTGGTAATACTTTGCATGCACTGTTGTTTGTCTAATACTTTTTTTTAAAGATATACATCTTATTTGTGAAATGTGTTTCTCATGGGAAATCATGTGTGAGCATACTGCATCTACTAGGACAAATTAATGTGTGAGCATAGTGTATCTACAAGGACAAATTAATGTGAGAGCATAGTGTATCTACTAGGACAAATTAATGTGTGTAAATAGTGTATCTTCTGGGACAAATTAATGTGTGTAAATAGTGTATCTACTAGGACAAATTAAAGTGTGTAAATAATGTATTTACTAGGACAAATGAATGTGTGTAAATAGTGTATCTACTGGGACAAATTAAAGTGTGTAAATAAAGTATTTACTAGGACAAATTAATGTGTGTAAATAGTGTATCTACTAGGACAAATTAATGTGTGTAAATAGTGTATTTACTAGGACAAATTAATGTGTGTAAATAGTGTATTTACTAGGACAAATTATTGTGTGTAAATAGTGCATCAACTGGGACAAATTAATGTGTGTAAATAGTGTATCTACTAGGACAAATTAATGTGTGTAAATAGTGTATCTACTAGGACAAATTAATGTGTGTAAATAGTGTATTTACTAGGACAAATTAATGTGTCTAAATAGTGTATTTACTAGGACAAATTAATGTGTGTAAATAGTGCATCAACTGGGACAAATTAATGTGTGTAAATAGTGTATCTACTAGGACAAATTAATGGGTGTAAATAGTGCATCAACTGGGACAAATTAATGTGTGTAAATAGTGTATTTACTAGGACAAATTAATGGGTGTAAATAGTGCATCAACTGGGACAAATTAATGTGTGTAAATAGTGTATCTGCTAGGACAAATTAATGGGTGTAAATAGTGTATTTACTAGGACAAATTAATGTGTGTAAATAGTGTATTTACTAGGACAAATTAATGTGTGTAAATAGTGTATCTACTGGGGTTAATTCATGTGTATGAACGTATTTCTTTCTTCACATCACATCTATGTTTTACATCAAACCATGTCTATACTATAGTAAAAGTTATGATTAAGTGCTGAAAGCATTCAAACAGGTTTTATCTGAGGTGATATATGACCCGATGTGTTGCCTGGGAACCTTTCTATTACAACCTAAAAGCACACAAGTGGGTATTGTGTTGTATTGCAAGCTTCAGCTCAGAGACCTCACCCATTTATAACCCAGTCATTTATCCTTTGAGGATGACGTTCTATATATTATAGTCTCTGAGTGCTGGACCTATGACTAAATGCATACAAAGAGAAGTAGCGGAATCTTGTTTGATTCTGTGAAGGAGTTACTGTTAATGTCTACCATTGTCATTCTCTAAGTCATGAAGTGCATGGTGTGGTATTGAAGATCCCTGCTGTAGGCTAGGGGCAGGGTTGATGGTTGTCCCTGGTAGTCTTACCTTAGTTACACAAGCAAGTCCATACAACACTCCATACAGAATACAGTTGGCCCGTCTCCCACTGAAATCACAAACATGTCACACGTAGTATCATTGCAAGCATAAAATTGAATGAACCTTATTAAACATTTTATTCAGTAAACATGGTCAAAAGAGAATCCTCTGTTGTAATAAATTGAACCTGTTTCCAATAAAGATTTTATACAGAAAGATTTCTGGCTGTAGTGTTTTGAACACATTCTGCATTCACTGATTGTATAAACTGCAAGTAACACATAAATGTCACTGCCCCTGCAAATAACCTGTGCTACATGTTACTCCAGGAATATAACATATGAAATATAGTTTACTGTAACATCACCATAACGCGGGTCTTGGGGTGCAGGGATGATCCCCCGCATTATGAGACACATGCGTTCTAGTAACTTATACATAACACAGAATAAAGGCCAAGTAAAATCGTATTTTCCATGGACAGCAGAACTGCTATTTCATGTATTGTGCCCAGTCAAATCTATATCTGAGGTGAAAAAACAAACTTCGTGAATGAAAATAGATATATGTACAGCAAACTTGCAATCAAACATCACTAGACATGATAATTCAATTGTTGTTCCTGCTTTGCTATATTCAACTGAGCCGGAAATAGCAATCAGCAGTGTACACATGTTTTGGTCCTATGTACCGGTGGTTCAGTTAAAAACAATCCAAAAATGTAACATCGAAGAATTTCTGTTCCATTATCAGAATAATTTATATCTTAAGCTGTTATTTTAACAGAGATAATATATATTGCTATCGTACATGTATAATACATGTTTTCTACGAACATATTCAACATAATGATTTGGGTCACGTGGCTGGACACATTTCACGTATGGAACAGTTTGACAAGTCACCATTTACTTCCTGTGGTACGTGCCACTATGATTGTAAAAAAAAAATATCAGTAATTAATTGTGAAATATGACTTCAGTGAGTCAATAACGCGGGTCTAGGGATACATGGATGACGAGGCAGTAATCAGTTCATTATTGCTGAGAATAATGTGAAATTGGTGATATCACAGTAGGCGTGAAAAGCTGACAATCACTAACATGGTAAGCAGAAGTTGTACATGTATAGAATGAGATGATGCCATTTCACACACAGTTTCTCTGATGTTACTGTAAACAGATCTAATGAGTGATTGAGTCTTTGAGTAAGTGAGTTTAGTTTTACTCTGCTTTGAGCAATATTCCGGCAATATCACGGCGGTGAACACCAAAAATGGGCTTCACACATTGTACACATGTGGGCATTCGAACCCGGGTCTTCGGCATGACAAGAGAACCCTTTAACCACTAGGCTACCCCACCGCCCCACAGATTTAATGACTGAAACTGGGATTAATTATTATCAAATAAAATGAAATAGAGGAAGATTGTTTTATTATGTGTTTTCTGACACGTATGTTTACGGATGGCGGTGTTTACCTGTGCTATAACGTGGTGTGTTGCATCACAGCAAACAACGTAAGTACTCGCCTGATGGCATATAAGTTATTCCGCTGTTCGTCTGATCATTCAAGAAAAACCTGAATGTTCACTGTTCATTACAATCCGCACTGAATTTCGCTTGTTTACAACGTGATTAACCCGAGCTCAACAGCGAATTTGTTAATTCGATGATGTGAAGATGTGTGATCGCTGGGCAACTTTTTTTTTATGGGAGCATGGATTACCCCACGTTTAACTGAATCCATGGTATTGCGAAGAGCGCTATTGTGAGGGTCGACTCTATACTCATTTGCATTTGCCAGTATAGCCATAGAAACCAATCCAGTATTTGAACTATACAAGGACAAACCATGATGAAAAATCTTTTCTACCTGATAGTATCAAAGTATGTAACAAACTTTCCAATGAATACACTAGCTTTGATTTGCTATCCAGGTTTAGTATGTCACTACACTAAGTGGCCCCAGTAAGAACATATCACTACACTAAGTGGCCCCAGTAAGAATATATCACTACACCACATGGGCCCAGTAAGAATATATCACTACACTACGTGGCTCCAGTAAGAACATAATAGTAAGAACATATCACTACACACGCGGGCCCCAGTAAGAAAAATCACTACACTACGTGGCCCCAGTAAGAACATATCACTACACTACGTGGCCCCAGTAAGAACATATCACTACACTACGTGGCCCCAGTAAGAACATATCACTACACTACGTGGCCCCAGTAAGAACATATCACTACACTACGTGGCCCCAGTAAGAATATTGGCCCCAGTAAGATATATATCACTACATATCACTACAATATTGGCCCCAGTAAGAATATATCACTACACTACGTGGCCCCAGTAAGAACATATCACTACACTACGTGGCCCCAGTAAGAATATGTCACTACACTACGTGGCCCCAGTAAGAACATATCACTACACTACGTGGCCCCAGTAAGAATATATCACTACACCACGGCCCCAGTAAGAACATATCACTACACACGCGGGCCCCAGGAATATGTCACTACACTACGTGGCCCCAGTAAGAATAGGTCACTACACTACAATTATTCGCGCGATCAGTAATTGCCGGAACTGCCAGCTGTCTCTTTGGCCGCCACTAATAACAGTGAAAACAAACAGAGTGGCTTAACCTGTCAGGCGGCGTTTATTACTTACTCACAGGAAATCCCTAACTGTGTGATATACGGAAGAGATGAAAAACACATCAGTCTTATGTTCCGAATTTGAATCTTCTACTAATTTCTACTGTATATGAAGCTCTTTGTGATTTCAAACAAGCCGGGTTGTTATGAATGAGATGATTGAGTGTTAAGTGACTATTTGCTTCATGATGTACTGGTAAATAAAATCTTAAGGAATAAATAAAATACTGCTGTATTATTTCTTTCCGAGTCGTTTCATGGTAATCTGTTTTGTATCAAACCATCTGTCAAGTGACCAATTTCCATGGCGGCCACAACACACATTGCTGTTTTCGCTAATTCGGCGATGGGATTTGGCTCATTATTTAATTATGTTTTGGGAAATCCATTACAGCGACAGTTAAGTATGATTCTTTATGCTACTATCAGTCGTCATTTTAAGATTACCGTAGATTTCTGTCTTCAAACTTGATGTGTTATGGTAACAACTCAGGGACGAGCGTGGCTAGACTGAATGAATGACAGGTTTATTCGCGATGTATAAATTTTCGCGCTAAAATGTTTTGCGTGAAAAGCGCGAAAAATAAAACCTGCACGAAATATAATACATTTACAGTATGTCACTACATTACGTGGCCCCAGTAAGAATATGTCACTACACTACGTGGACCCAGTAAGAATATGTCACTCCACTACGTGGACCCAGTAAGAATATGTCACTACAGTATCGGCCCAGTGAGAATATGTCACCATGTGTCCACAGTGAGAACATGTCACCATGTCTCCACATTGAGAATATGTCACTGTGTGTCCTCAGTGAGAATATGTCACCATGTCTCGACAGTGAGAATATGTCACGGTGTGTCCTCAGTGAGAATATGTCACCATGCATTCACAGTGAGAATATGTCACCATGCGTTCACAGTGAGAATATGTCACTGTGTGTCCTCAGTGAGAATATGTCACCATGCGTTCACAGTGAGAATATGTCACTGTGTGTCCTCAGTTACAATATGTCACCATGTCTCCACAGTGAGAATATGTCACCGTGTGTCCTCAGTGAGAATATGTCACCATGCGCTCACAGTGAGAATATGTCACTGTGTGTCCTCAGTTACAATATGTCACCATGTCTCCACAGTGAGAATATGTCACCATGTGTCCTCAGTCAGAATATCTCACCATGTGTCCACAGTGAGAACATGTCACCGTGTGTTCACAGTGAGGACATGTCACCGTGTGTCCCCAGTGAGAACATGTCACCGTGTGTTCACAGTGAGAATATCTCACCATGTGTCCACAGTGAGGACATGTCATCATGTGTTCACAGTGAGAACATGTCACTGTGTGTCCCCAGTGAGAACATGTCACCGCGTGTCCTAAGTGAGAACATGTCACTGTGTGTCCTAAGTGAGAACATGTCACCGTGTGTTCACAGTGAGAACATGTCACTGTGTGTCCTAAGTGAGAACATGTCACCGTGTGTTCACAGTGAGAACATGTCACTGTGTGTCCTAAGTGAGAACATGTCACTGTGTGTCCTAAGTGAGAACATGTCACTGTGTGTTCACAGTGAGAACATGTCACTGTGTGTCCTAAGTGAGAACATGTCACTGTGTGTCCTAAGTGAGAACATGTCACTGTGTGTCCTAAGTGAGAACATGTCACTGAGTGTACACAGTGAGAATATGAGTCACTACAAAACTTGGCTAAAGGATATTTGATGACAATGCAAAGCCTTAACAAGGACGTACCACAGCAATGTTTTTGTTGCGAGAGTGGGTCACTACAATCCATGCTCTGAATGAGAGGTGTCACTACAATGCATGGCCTTAGTGTGGATGTGTCACTACAATGGATCGTATCAGTTTGGATGTGTCACTACAATGCATGGTCCTAGTGTGGATGTGTCACTACAATGCATGGTCCTAGTGTGGATGTGTCACTACAATGCATGGTCCTAGTGTGGATGTGTCACTACAATGCATGGTCCTAGTGTGGATGTGTCACTACAATGCATGGTCTTAGTGTGGATATGTCACTACAATGCATGGTCCTAGTGTGGATATGTCACTACAATGCATGGTCTTAGTGTGGATATGTCACTACAATGCATGGGCTTAGTGTAGATATGTCAATACATTGCATAGTCTTAGTGTGGATATGTCACTACAATGGATCGTGTTAGTGTGGATGTGTCACTACAATGGATCGTGTGAGTTTGGATGTGTCACTACAATGGATGGTCCTAGTGTGGATGTGTCACTACAATGCATGGTCTTAGTGTGGATATGTCACTACAATGCATGGTCCTAGTGTGGATATGTCACTACAATGCATGGTCTTAGTGTGGATATGTCACTACAATGGATCGTGTTAGTGTGGATGTGTCACTACAATGGATGGTCCTAGTGTGGATATGTCACTACAATGGATGGTCTTAGTGTGGATGTGTCACTACAATGCATGGTCCTAGTGTGGATACATGTGTCACTACAATGCATGGTCTTAGTGTGGATACATGTGTCACTACAATGCATGGTCCTAGTGTGGATGTGTCACTACAATGCATGGTCTTAGTGTGGATACATGTGTCACTACAATGGATGGTCTTAGTGTGGATGTGTCACTACAATGCATAGTCTCAGTGTGGATGTGTCACTACTTACTATCTGTCAGCAAAAGAGCCAACCACTGTGCCGATGATCATGCTGGAGCCAAAGCCTGCCACAAAGAGGATCTCAATCTGATGGGGGGTCATGTTGTAGCTTTCATACAGGGCATACACGTGAGGCCCCTGTAGCCAGTCACCAGCTGAAACAGACAGGCAATAATGGAATTGATTCAGATTACTTTCCTGCTATCAAACCTTTCATGAATAGTACAGGATTCAACAGATGGGAAATTCTAGGGGTTTAGGGATGATTTCTGCTATACAACAATTTGGTTCCATTTATAATTGGTCTCTGTACATTATCAACAATTGCCCACTTTTATTCCAGCTGGCAAACTCCATACCTACTTTAACCTACAGCCTCTGAGCACTCACAGTGTGTGAGCATCTTATGTCCCTTGAGGTTAATTACAGCATTCAATATTTCCATGGGATCCTCATCTTAAACTTTAAACCATCAGTTTGTAGGATGTGCATAAGACAGGTTGGTTTGAACCATGGACAGATAGCTGGAGCAGGCAGCTTGAACACACAAGTATGATTTAATATAATAATTTAGATCATTTGTAATGCGCTTGACTCCACAACACTTGACCATGCTCTAAGCACGAACACAAGACAGTCAGTAGCGAAGAAAACGAAATGTCTTTAGATGAGATTTAAAACTTGAGAGAGTTGGAGCAGATTCAGTGTCTGTAGGGAGAGAGTTCCACGGGAAAGCAGCTGAATGTTTGAATGATCTATGTCCGAAAGTTTTGAGTTTATATGGAGGCACAACAAGAAGTGATTGATCGGCAGATCTGAGATTCCTCGGTGGGACGTAGGGTGAGACAAGGGCTTGGAGATAGAGTGGAGCAGTTTCATTTAGTGCTTGGTAGGTAAGAGTTAAAATCTTAAACTCTAGATTTAGCACATGCTCTCCAGCCACGTGCCTTCCGACCATGAGCAAAACAAACCCATTCTATTCGGACTGACTCGAGTCAGTCAGTTCATATCTTGTCACAATCGGACATACAACAGAATTTGTCCACTGATAGGTAGGTACTGCAACAACTTGTAATAGATTGTCATAATAAGACAAACAACATAGCCAGCTACAAAATAACATGATTGTAAGGTTAGATAATACATTTTGAGATGTCATATTACATTTCTTGTCACATTTTAAATTATTTTTCAGAGATTTACGTTTAGCTCCCTATATTTCTAACCTGATTAAACACTGAATTTAAAAAGAGATTCACATTTAGTTCCACATACACTACATCAAAGAAATATTCACAGTTAGTTAATTTAGTGTAAATTATTTGGACAGTTTCCACATGTCACATATAGTCAGTTGAGTGAATTATGAAAAGCGTGAGTGAAAGAATATCAGTTTGGACATATTCATGTTGTTTTCTTTTACTGATGTTCCAGGTCCAATCACACAATTTCTTTTCTCAGTAGTATTTGTTCAAAAATTAAAACATATTTTCTTTAATAATACTGATAGAAATGATGTGGATGTTGTTGTTGTTGTTAGTATTATTTGTTTAAACATACTCAACACACACACATATAAGTTAGGACTGCTCTAACTTGAGACAGCAAATCAAAATAATGTTTTGGTGGTTTCAAACTTAGAATCTGCAACCTGTACCTTTATTTAAGAGAGTGGTGGCAGCACCACGATCTCAATAAGTTCGGTCATATGCAATATTACCTTATGCTCATGAATAACACAGGACTCCTTCATGCACAAGTGTGGCTCACAGTCACTATTAGCGAAATAATTGGGTACGTGAAACCTCCATAACGGTGTCACTTCCTTGTGCAAATAGGACATTCATATCAGAATATATCCCTTCAATCTGCAGAGTGTATATTCATTATTACAAATAAAATCAATCAGCTGATTCATAACACAAGGAATGAATTTCTTAGTTTATGAATGTACGAATGCATGTGGCACATAATTCAAGTAAGTTGGCAATATTACAGCCTCTTTGGTATTAACATGATTAATGTATGCACTGCAGTTCTTTGCACGGCTCCATCTGAAACATGTAGGAACATGTTGAAGTGGTGAGCCCTGCCATATAGCGACAAAAAGTTGAGGAGAAAGCTAAACATATTCATGGGTCTTTGGAGTTTATTTATCAAGCTTAATCATTATTCTGTGGGATGCAATGAAAACCAAGAGATGTGGGAGGCTGAGAAAGGGTGTCCTCTTCAATCAGCACTCTGTACCTTCTTTGAGTGGCATTGTTTAGAAGTTGGAGAGCAATATACAGACAAACTTTATGGATAAACAACTTCTTTAGGCACCTATCCAAATAAAGAAGTTGTTTATCCATAAAGTTTGTCTGTATATTAGGACATGTACCAGCACACAAATCAGCCAATGCCATGGCTCCAATCCACAGGTGTGACTTTGGGCTCCTTTAGCACCCCTCTGATCTGGTTTCCATCTGACCACTATCACACTTCCATCTGGTCTCAGACACAAAGAACACCAGTAAAGACAGGCACCTATGCCCACCTCAGACAACTCTGGGGATGGCATGGACACTGTGGTTTGTATATGTTTGTTATTGCCCCTGGACATGGGAGATGGGTGACAACAACTCGCCACACACCTTCCTGGGCAATAATGTTGGTGTTATAAGCAAGTCGCTCAGGCTTTTTCGGCAATATTTTGGTCTATAATATATATATTGGGGCATATGCACTCACTTTAGCTTCCTATGGATACAATAGAAGACTTATTATCCCTTACGACTTGCCTGAAATCGATAATTGAAACTTCGAGGCGAACAGCTTCCAAACCAGATAACACTTGCCATATATGAAATGTAAATGATTGTTCCGTACATCGAAACCTGTCGCAAGTGGTGTTGTCGGTGTTTGCCGAACTGGCCTCAATCACAAGTTGCGTTTAAGGATTGCGTTATTCATAAAGAGAATAAAATAAGCTTTCAGATACCATTGTTTTTGCTCAGCACCAATGGACATCGGTCATTCTGATAGACATGATGGCCACAAGCTTGACTGAATAAACAATTATACACTGATAAATGTGTTATTAGTTCATACATTACTTCTAAAAAAAATGTGAAAAAAAGAAGAATTCCTTTCTACCTACCCTAAATTTTAAATTGGTGTAATCGGAACCACAACATTTTTTTATTTGGCCTTGCAATTGTTGAGTCTCCAATAGCAATTAATCGATGGTAGAAACAAAAACCTATTGATGCATCGATAGTATGTGTGACTATCAATAGTTAAGTAACTGACTTGCGTTGATAAATGAGCAGGGCTAAAATACAGGAAGTACCAGACACGTTCTCTTTGGTTTAGAGTTATCCGCCCCTGTTACTCTTAAACAAACTTCGCAGCAAATACAGCATGCGACTCGGAGTATGAAATTGTGAATAACAATAAGTGAAAGGTTTAACTGTTAACTTGATCTGGGTTTCAAGTTTCATGTCAGTTATTTAAGGAGACTGAAACCACTTCAACGTGTTTTTATTTCATATAAACTATACATTGGGGAATGACTTCGAATGTCAGAGACAATTCAAGGAGAAAAAGCATTAAATAGTATTGCAATAGTAGGTCGCAATAGCCTATCGCTATCGCAATAGTATGATGCAACAAACTATTGCTATCGGAATAGATGCTTCCCCTTCAAGTTCAATAGTCAACCCTAGCACCAAGGACATGTTACATCACATCACCATGACATCAACCCAGAAATTCCAAAAGACAAGACAGTGACAATATGTTGTTGACCAGATTGTATTGTCTGTATTTTACTTCCAAACCATTGCTGGTTATGTATGATATGAGAACAAACTGGTTTAGAGAAAGACATTTCAGCTTTCACCAAACTTATTAACTTAGTATTTTCCTGATCAATACAAGGATGTTTCAAACTGTGATGCACAGTATCTACCATCCATCGATAACCTTCTGTGTATCTGTTGAAAGTTTGTTTTGAAACTATACAAGGAAAACCCAGAAATTTAACAAAATCTATAGCATTGCTAATAACTAAATATGATCAAATAATTTTTTTTTTATGACTTATCAATTCAGTTCAAGAGTTCATTGGCACTGTTCATATCATCGTTTCGTACATGACATACTCACATAGTCATATCATAAGAGGAAGTCATCATATCATAGGAGGCATAGTCATTGTATCATTGGAGGCATATCGTCTAAAATCATTCATTATTATCATATCAACATTGTTTACCAATAACTAGTTTCATGGGGTGCAAAAACTGGTTTTCAATCATTTTAATTGGTCAAATTTATTGCATTTTTCATTATATGAATCATGGTGAGTATTATTTGTTTAATTTTGTGTGTGCTGCCAAGGCACTGTTGAAATATTTCATCTGTTCCACTTCAATATTTGCCCGGCACAAGGTATTTTGATCCCTGGAAAATGACATATTGGAAATAGAAGAACAAGTAAGAAACGACTTTCAAATGTTAGTGAACATTGTTATCCAAACTATCAGAATGGAAATCACAGTTTTAAAAATTCAAAGAAGAAATGAGAGGAATTCAGATCTGTAAATAGAAGACATTGACACTGAAGATTTAGATTGTTTAGAAGACATTACCACTCTATATAGAATTCTGTCAAAAGAACTAGATCCAGCACACAAAGTCAGACACCGCCACGGCTTCCACAAAAATGGATGAGATAGCTGTATCTATACTAGGCACAAAAAGAAACTGTGCATACAAAAATTTAAAATCTAAATTTATCAAACCTGTGTAGACACTTAAGGATTCAAACTCAGAGATTAGTGACATGTATCCAACATGCATGCACGTGCCACGTTCCGTGACGTCAGAGGGTTCGTCCTTGAGACGTGCAATACGTTGTTGCACGTGCATTCCGGGAAAGAGAAACAGAGCAAATGAATGCCACACAATACTGTCACTTTGGAAAGCTCAACCCCTGCCCTTGCGATCGTTCAAAAAATTAAACGGCTATTGAAACGCATAGCATGCCAAGGCTCACGTCTGCACAACCTTATGAGGCCATTGGGATGGTCCGTGGGGGAATGTCTCAACGACAGGTGGCTGTACATTTCCACTGCCACCGGAACACCATTTCTGCACTGGTGAGACG